CCATCGCTAATCTGCCACAGAAACACATGTGACAGCGCTTCACTCAGGGGAGGGGTGGATGTGAATGTTTGAAAAGGAAGAGGTAATGGAGAAAGAGTGAGACAGGAAAGGAGAGATCTGGAGGACATAGGATGAGAGGGGCGGCTGTTTTGACTGCCTCAGCCCACGGATAGCATGAGTCATACACACCTTATTCAATATCACAGATACAATCCTGCCTCCCCACAGCCCTCGCTCTCTAATTGTTTTCTTTCTAGAAAGATTCATGCGGCTGGTTTTGTGGGTAAAACATGGTAACATACAGTGTAATTAAAATTCTGAGACAATAAGCATTTAGAGAGGATTGTGAATCTAAAACAAACACTAAAGATGCTACACTCCTAAATGTGTGTGTTTAGATGATTCCCAGTCATTGTGTCAATGGATCTGGAGCTGCTGTTGCTTGAGGACTTTTTTCCACTCATTCATTCTACTGACTGTAAAGTGGCGGCTCTGTGCATGCTGCAGTACCGTAACAGTTTTCAAACATGTGAGTGATGTATTGTGCACTTTAAAATATTAAATTTAAAGTTTTGAGACACTTTTCACAGGCAAAGAACTCAGAATTATTAAATTTCACTTCCTTTGCTGATTTGTGCAAGACTACAGTGTTTCTCTTTAAAATACACATGGACTCGTCCGATAGCTTGACTGTGGATTGTGCTCTCTAAATGGACTCTGTGCCACCAAACTGATTAAAGTGAAAGCTTGGGAGGGATGCCAAATAGCTGCTGTAAAAGGACTGAAAAGGGGAACTGTGACAATCTTGTATTGGGAGGACTAAAAGCTTGACAAATTTATGATGCATAGTGCCATAAATTATTACTAAGCTGGAACTAGACTCACAGTCTTACAGTATCAGGGAAAATACTAACACCATCAAAAGCTGTCATGTCTCAGATGTACAACAATATATATATTTTCTGAACTTACTGATCACATTCTTGAAAAAACATAATGACCCTCACATCGTTACGTTTGTGCCAACTGAATATATGTAGTTCTTCACACTGGTTTAGTTTGGCTCAGTTACAGGACAGTCAGTGTATGTATGTCAGTGCACTGTAGTGTGGCATGTGACTGAGTCTGTGCTTGCATTTGTTGGGCTTGTTGATTTCCAAGCATCTGTAAGCTCATAAATATGAAGAGAATCTGTGGTATAAGTGAGGAATGAGGTCTTGTATCTATACAGTACTTCTCTGAGGTCCAAGTATCAATCCAAAGTGTTATATTGACTGTCACCTTGGCAGTTTAAGAGGAGCAGTATAGCACTAGATGTATTTAATCATGAACATTATTTCTCTTGAGTTTTGTTTTTGGCTGGACTGCAACAGCAAGGCCAGCCCTATAATCGTGAATGTCCATGACTGACTGACTGACTGACTGAGTGATCATATTTCCACCATCGGTCAGCTGAATGTCATTTGACTGAGTTGTAGTTTCCCTACTGGCTATTGCGCTTTGAAAATGATTCGGTGTAAACAGTTTCTATTAGCCGGACGTTTACAGCCTGCAGTGTTGCCAATTTAGCACATCTGTCACTAGATTTAGAGACTTTACTTCAAACCTATTATATTGCTGGACAATGTATGGCTGTCAACTGTGGGCTTACAGATACACCTCTTGTTACGGGCGGTCACCTTGACACCCTGGTTTCCCAGCTGCTCGGAAGCTGCAGGTAAGTAGAGTAGCGCTTCCAAATCACTGAGCCTTGCCTCCATCATCGCAAATAAACTACTTTCATTACATGTACCATTATTACTAGAGAGGCAGGGGAATAAGTAAACATAAGACACAGCGAGCAGAGAGAGCAGGAGAGTGGGAGGGAGAGAGAGAACTCATCTGTAACTGCTGAAGAAACTAGGAGATCTGAAAACAACAGAAACACCAGCAACCGGAAATGAGACAACATGCTTACTGCAGCACAGCATTAAAAGTCCTGTTAAGAAATAAAAGTTTTTTCTGTCCACGGAAATGCTACAGCTTTTAATTTGAAACTTTCCAGTAAGTGTTGCAGTAAGTTTAATATGGCAAATGGGAGCAACTGAAAACCACACTTCATACTAAAATACCTGGATGAATCAATAATACATATCAGACGCAGGGAATTAGAAATAAAGACCAGCATCTAATACAAGCCTGCCTCAAATAAAGGCCCATTACCTTCTGTAGTTGAGGTAAATAAAGGCCCCTGTCACTTTTTGAGGAAATACAGTAGTTGAAAACTATTGTTGATGCCAGAAGGGGGGCATGCACTGTGTGAGAGAAAAAATGAGATAGATATTCTGTCACTTCTTACTTTCTTTCTGAGTGATCATTTGAAAAGTAAATATAGCCAAAAACAGAGCACAGTTTTTGTCTTCAACTTTTGTGTTTGGTGATTTTGTCAAACAATGTCACAGTTATAAAATCAGGATTTTAGCAGTGCATCGCAGCAGCTTGGAAATGTCTTGGAAGTTAACATGTAGTCTCAATGATTTACATTTCAGTTATTATTTCAAAGTTGTTCTGTTGTCTTACAACAGAAACAGAAAAATATGTAAATGAGAACAACTTCATTGAGAATTTGGCTGTATTAATATTCTTTATGTGTGAGCACAGAGAGTAGGAGAGAAGCATAAAGCACAAAGGGAAGGGCTGAAACGAGCTGACACTAAGCAGATTGCAAACAGGACGCTGTGATGTCAGTTGTTTACAGCGGTTCCATGACAGCTTTCAACTACATTGTCAATCACATTGACTATACGCAGCCCAATCACATATTAGGTTTTGACCTAGCCCTGTTCATAATTAGATTTGCTACTCTTTGACTGCACACTGTTCTCATCACTTACCTTTTAATTTACTTGTAAAAGATTGCTAATGTGTTTCCTTTCACCTCCACACTATGTTCACACACCTTCACTTTGAAATGCTCATGTAACCCCAATTTGTGTACTTCTGGCCACTAAGCAGCTCTAGGTCTTAACTCAGGGGCACCCAGAGGTGAAAACTAATTACAATAGCCTATCTACTTAACAACTGAAGTTCAGTTTAAAGTATAAGTACTCCATGAATAAGCCTTTTGGAAATGGAAAATGGAAATATTGTACTTTTACCACTACATTTACAATATTGTATGATAAAGATAAATACAGAGCATGTAATAAACCCCCCAAAAAAATGTGAGTGTATGCTTATCAGTATATTATGAGGTAGAGCTGAAACAACCAACAGAAGAGTAATCAGCAAATATGTTGATTATCATTTACCATTTATAACAAAAATGTCAAATACACTCTGGTTCCAGCTCCTTAGTTGTGAGGATTTGTGTTTTTTCTTCATTCTTTGGGTTTTGGACGTGGCAATTTGAAGACATTACCTTTAGCTTTAGCTTTAGGAATTTGTATTTGAATTTCTGACACTTTAAAGATTGAACACAATATAAATATATATAAAATAAAAATAGAAATTGCTTATTTAAGCTTAGGAACACTTGGCTCACTAACGGCATTAATGCTGCAAAGTGCAACATACAAAACAACACATCAATAATTTAGCACGGTGGATAGGCATCCTTCTGCATGAGTACTGCTGCTACATTACACTGCCAATATTTCCCAAACTTTTAAAGTAAAATATTGAATGTAGAACCTTTTCTTCTGGGCTAATTGTGTATTTTTATATTTTCATATTGTTGTTTATACTCAATCAAAGGATCTGAAAACCTCTCCCACTGCTTGGGACACTTCAACAGTGCCTTAGCAAACATTTCAACAGATTTCAGGTGGGGAGAAAGGAAAAGATACCGGTGCATGCTGATTGACCAGACTGCCACAGATATGGAGGAGAGACAAACTTACAGGTTGTCTTTAGTGACAGTAAGCTGGTAATGTTTGAAGAGTGAGGCTCCTTGGCAATTTTCCCTCCCTGTCTGAAAGCTGTCTAATCATATCAGAGACTTTCCAGCTCCACCTCTGGCACTTCTCCATCTGTCTCCTGCCCTCAGACAGGATGTTATTATAACTCACCATGATGACATAGCCATGTTAGGGTAGGCTAAATTAAGTCCTTTAAGCTATGATACTGCATGCCTTGGTAGTGCATACCAGCTTGAATAAACATCCCTGAGCGTGTTTCAATGGTCCATTTGTCCTTACTGGTTCCTTGGTTACCCCTGCCTCATCAGCTAACCGAGGGTTTTATAATGGATCACACATCAACAGGACATAAGGATCAAAACCGTTTCCTCCGTCACACTGTCCTCCCCCCTGCTGCTAGGATTGGCTAATAAAGAACATGTATGGACACCCAGCGCTGTATGGTGCACAGTGTAAGGATGGCGTCAAGGTCATTTGAGGGTAACTGGGAAAATAACACGCGAGAGTGAGCTGAAAATCCCACACACCGTCCCATTCTTGTTGTTCCACACACACACACGCACACACGCACACACACACGCGCGACTTCAGGAGGAGCCGTTGACATTTTAATGAGCGCTGTGTTTTAAAATGTGTCTGAATCTGATCAGTAATAATCTGCGGCACTCCTACAATAATCCATGTGTGCTTGCCATGTGTGATCAGTCTAAAAAGAAGTAAGATCTGTCAGTGCATTGCGATGTGATCCGCTCCCAGGAATCACTGCACGTGTTTGCACCTCAGAATAACAATATCAACAACATCCTCCGCACACGTAGCATACAGCAGCATCCTGCAGGGATGCAGAGATAACGTTTACTGAGTCTTCTCAGACGTAAAATATGCGAGAAAAAAAAAAAACCCTGATAATTTTAAAACACTGCAGCAGGTGATCGTTCCTGTCATCAAATAGTTCCTTAAACATGCCACAGTCCATTATTCCAGCAGCAAATTGTGAGTTAGAGCAGAGAATTTCTAACAGTTGTTGGAGCTTGTGTTCAGCCTGCTCTGTGCCGCTCCACCGTGTCAAAGCAACGCGCCATGTATTAAAGGACACTTTACCTGGTAGCTCAGTATGCTCTCGGAGTCGTTGACGGGCATGCTCGTGGCCTTTGGGTGCACCTGCTCAGTCTTCACGGAGTGTAAAGGTGAGACTTTTCGGTCTGATCAGGCTCTCTGCGCTGTCTGAGGACGTGTTTTGTTTTTTTTGAAGGAGCAGTCACGAGCTGGCGACAGCAGCTACTTCTGTTTCTGCAGACATGTTGAGGGGAAACATCTCTTCCAGATGAGGAAAACGGTGAAAAGCATAATTTTGCCCCCCTATGTTATGATGATTTCCCGGCCGCGCTTCCAGCTCCCCTCCCTCCCTCCCTCCCTGTCCTGGCTGTGGGAGCAGGATGCAGAGAGCATCACTGCAGCGTCAGCCAATCAGAGCGCAGAGGCACACAACGGGCTGCGACGCACTGCTGCTTTCCAACACAATAAAGCCAAAACCGTCATAAGCTTATAGAGCTATGTTTTACTTCACGCTATACAATGTTCAGTTTGGTAGCTTGTGACGTTCAGCTGCTGGACTGAGACCACTGTGCACACCAAAGGCTTCAGTTCCCTCGTTCTTATACATTTACTGGCACACAGCACAGTTACACTCTGCATCATCCAGCTATTAAAATCAATAAAACAATTAAATACAAGCAGACAAACTGTTTATTCATAATTAGGCTGATTTAGGATACTTACTTATTTTTAAAAAGTCCACTGGTAGAAAAAATATTTAGGTAAGCAATGTTGGGGAGCAGTGGACTATATAGTTAAACTAGTTGTCTTACCTACATGTTGCAGTAGCTTTCCGGTAGTTCAACTACATTCATATGAGCATATGTAGTTAAATTACTTTTTTTGTTTACCTAACTACTGAAACTAAGGGTGCTGCTCAGTGGTCACATCAACGTTATCATGGATAAACCTCCCGAATTTCAGCCTGAGGAAGAATCACCATGGCCATACTTGAGCAGTTATTGTTTACAAAAGCAAAGCTGATGTTCCTTTTTACTTTCCCATGAATAAAGGGCTATTTTATTATTTTGTTTATGTTATTACCTGTGAACAAGTAGGATTTTTTTTGCAATAAACTCAATTGAGCAGCAGTTTTTGCTGGCTCTGACTTTTTCGTATTATATTTTCTTATAATTTTGTGTCACATGTATGCGAATTTTGATCCTTTTTTGTACGTTTTCTAAGTAGCTTTAGTTAACCAAACTATATTTCTCCCTATGCTAACCTTGCTGTAGTTCAACTTCTTCCAATGTGAAGTAATTAGAAGCTTGCAAAGTTATGCTTTTGAAGTAGCTTCCCCGTCACTGTAGGCTAAATCCTTTACATGAGTAAAGGACAGTAGCAATTCAAAAATACTCCATTATAAGTTACAGTCCTCATCCATAAAAATTTAACCTGAATAAAAGTAGAAGCAGCAAAATATGTGTAAAGTATCAAGCATAAAAATACTAATTGTGCAGAATGTCCCCTTCATTCAGGTTTACATTATTAAATCATTATCATTGAGGCATTAGCATGTAGATGACTAGCACAAATTTGAACTACTTTATATAGTCTATTATAATAAGCTATAATAATGTATTCTGTTTTATTATATGATGCTATGTTGTATTAGAAAAATGTAGTAACTACCAACTACAGCTATTAAATACATGCACCAGAGAGAAAGTAAGCCTACAATATGTTCCTTTGTAATTCAGTGGAGTAGATACAGTATGTATCAAATAGGATACAATGGAAATATAATTTACCCTATTCAAACAAGACATGAAAGGGTTCCTCAGCAGTCAAACATGAATGCTAAAGTGAGCAGTGAGCACATGAGATGAAAGGGAAAACAAGAAGAGACATGATGGATCTAATTGATCTTGTTACACACTAAAACATAGGCCTACTAGAAAGTCTTGGATGCCATCTTGTGGGAAGCTAAAGCATTGCACCAAGTATACATTATAATCCATACACAAAGCATACAGCTCATGTGCTCATGTCTGACATAGTGACAATGAGTTTAGCCTATTATTTGAGATCCAGGACTGGCAGTTTTGCTTTAACCACTGCAGATGGTCGCCTGTATTCATAAGCAAGTAAACAAAATATGAATTACACTTAGGTCCGTAGTGCCTTCCTCCACATTAGCCTCATCATGAACCCTTTGGAATAGAACAAGTATGAGACTGTCCCCCTGCCACACTAACAAACACTTGACTGGATTTTGCTGCAACAGATTGACCCTCCGCAGCCGCTTGGTCCCCACGGTTCACCGATCTTAGATAGCGGATATCAGATATGTCTTCGTGTCGTGTCTCGGCAGGTTTAATTGTTCTTGTGCACGTCACCTACACGTGTAAACTACACCGCAACTGATAGCTTCAGATTGAGTGACCCACTTTCTTCGACGCATGGTTAAAGGTGGTAGTTTTTTGTTTTTTTTTCATCGAGCTGCATGTGGCGTCCTGTTTCTTCCCTGGGCACGGTTGTTATGGCAACTATAAACATTATGTGGGAGCATGCATGGTTGTTATGGGAACTGTCTGCGGGAGCATGAAGGAAGCAGGACCGGGGGAGTCCATGGACAGAGTGGTAGGGTCACTGGGGAAGTGACAACAATAGGTTTGTATATTAATATTCAATGTAAACTCTGAGCTGTTTGTGATGGAAATGCATTTTAGAAATGGTTTGTTATGCCTAATCGCTCGGTCATCCACGGTCGTGACAACTTGAATAATCATAGTAGCTACATGCTTTTATTTTTGCGCATATAGGCTATGTGCTCCGTCTGCATGTGTGTGTGTATGTGTGTGAGCATGATCATGTCAGTGAAAAGGTTTGACAGCCTCAGTCAGCTCTGTCCAGATTTAGATGCCTGCTTGACCCGATTTAGATCCTTCTTCATAAGCCACAGAGACAACCCATTTATAATAATGGCTCTCTCTCTGTTTATTGCTAATGTCCTAATATTACCTAATATTATATTATGATCACAATGAAGACATTTTTAGAATTATATGATGGCGTGAAAATAATTGCTAATAATAACATATCTGTTCCAGGGAAGTGAATGCATTACACTGATCATCAGAGAGGAGAACTTGAACAAGTAAAATGCAGCAAATGCCAGGTAAGAGCAGATTAACATCTGTATATACATGTATATACACATTAATCTGAAGCTATATATATACAAACATTTTCAGACACATTCTCTTTTTTTTTTTCTTAGTCTTACAAGAGGGGAGGATACGCCGCATTTTGCCCAGCCTGCCTGCGATCAAACCAGACAGGTTGAAAACAGCTAAAGCATTGGTGGAGAAAGCAGTCAAGGTGATTATATGTACAAACCAGATGTCACTGTACCAACTCTGTATATTTATCCTCCATCCTCTTTGGAGTAAATCTACGCATCTCTTATACATTTCCTTTTCCACTCATTCTCAGTTGAGGAAAGTGTTTTCAGTGCAAGGGCCCTATCCTGTGATCCGTGCTGCCTTATGGGCCAGAGGGTGGGTGGAACGTCGTTTGCCCCCTCCGGTCCAGAGAGCACCTCATTGCCATGGTGATGAGGAGGAGGATGGGGATGATGGCCTTGTCAGTGCTGATGTTACTGGTGAGACAAGGAGTTTACAGACAGACAGACAGAAATACTGGAACAATGATGTGTGTGTGTGTGTGTGTGTGTGTGTGTGTGTGTGTGTGTGTGTGTGTGTGTGTGTGTGGTTTAAGGTTTTGCACACATAGAACTAGCAAAATATAACACAAGTCAATCATCTATATTATATTTATTTGTCCAACCAATGACTTAGATTTAGTCCAAAAGAAAGATGAGTAATAGTCTTGTGTAGCTGTCAAAGCTAAAAGTGGAGTGGAGTGGATGTATATGTAACTGGAGCACTAGACCCCTTCACCTGATGAATGATACATTATGTACCACATGACAGGCCTATAACACAGACCCCTGCCCTTTACACACACACTTTACTTATCTGTTTTCAGAGAGAGTGGATGAAGGCGAGAAAGAGGAGAACCACGATGACATGTATGACCTCATGGTAAGATAACGTTCAAGTGAACCAAACAACTTGTCACTGACATCTTGCACAGTCTGAAAGCAATTGAATGTGTGTGTCTTTAATTCCATGATGCTGTACTTTCAGGCTCAGTCGGCTCACTAACTTAACGTTGCCTTAACTTATTCTAGTCCCGCCTGGTTCGAAACGAAACAGCATATTTCTACTGGACGACACGACGGGATTGCATCGACTGTCGCTCCTTACGGAATGACCAAATGACCAATCACTATGCAAATGCTGGAACTTTTACCACCAAGGTCTCACATCTAAAGAGTTGCTAATGATTGACTGGCAAAAATGCAAGATGCTCAACTTTGGCCAACTTGTTCTCCCTGCCTGCTCCTACGTATACAATTCTGTTTTCTTTCAGGTGGGGCTCTGTGTGAACCTGCGTAACCTTCAGTGGTTTGATACAGCAGATCCTGATACCTTCTTCCCACGATGCTACAGGCTTGGGGCAGAGGACGAGAAGCATGCATTCATAGGTCTGCCGTATGGCTCCATTGACACATAGTCAAAAATCCTTTCTATCATAGATGCAATAATGTGTCTAAGTTTGAATGGAATATGGAAAAAATCACACTTGGATAAGAGAGGAATGAAATAGCAAGTGTAAATGGAAGTTTTAAATTGACTTGTCACTCTTCATGTTATATTAACATCTTAACCAAACCTGTATGTCCTCTCTGTCTATGGCTCTGTTTGCTGTGAAAACCTAGAGGACTTCAGGAGGACAGCTTGCACCAGCCTGCTGCAGCATGTGGTCGAGACAAGTAGATGGGGGAGAGAGGGAGCAGTGGTCCGAGAACAAAAAGCCAAAAACAGCATCTCTGAAAGTAAAGGAAATAAAATTGCGCGATATGTCATGATATGAAGTGCAGGACAATGATGACGTAAAAAAAATCTTCCTTCTTTCTGCAGATTTGGATCATGTGGGGCATCGGTTTGTTGGTCCAGAAATGATCAACACAGCTTTATACGTGTGTCAAAAGTTTCTCAGTGTTTTAGAGCATGGTGACATTGATGTAACCGTGGAAACGCCCCCTGCTGTGGAGGAACAGCAGTGGGCAGAGTTTCTGCAAGACTACTACATGGTTGTGCAGTGAGTATGTTTTCCAGCAGCTTCTAGAATGATCCTTCTTAGGTCAGACTAAATTTATCTGCTGCACTGACAG